CTAATTGGTCCAGATCTCTGCTCCCTTCAGCCACCAATTTCTGAAGCTTTTAATGGATATCTGGAGCTGACTGTGTTAGAAATTTATGTTTAAGGATGATTTTCCTCTTCCTGTGACTCTGGTATAATGTTGGTATGCTTTTGTAAAGCATCCTTAAATCTCTGTAGGAAAGCTATTGGAGTTTCTAAGGGTCTTTGCTGTACAGCTGTGACTTGGGAGTAATTAAGAGGTTTTACCTTGGCTCTCCTTAGACCCTCAAGAATGCAGCGGATGAAATGTTTATGATTCCATTCATCCTTGTCATTTTCAGGGTCCCACTTAGAGTCATACCTAGGCACTGCCTGATCTTCTGTTGGAATTGGGAATTGAGGTTCCCTTTTAGGTATCCAATGTCTTTGTCCTTCTTCTCCCTCCCCCTCCTCCTCCTGTGAGGGCCCAGACAGGGCTGTAGTAGGGCTGCTTTTATCTAAGTGATAATTGTCTCCTGCTGTGACTGCCTGCTCTAGTACCCACTGTTTCTCTAGAGAAGTGAGGGTCTGAGATAGCAATAGCATTACATCTTTTCAGCTCAGTTCAAAGTTTTGGCTGACTTCTTTAAATGCCTGGATGTACTGATCTGGGTTTTCTGTGTAATTTCCTAAATCCTTTTTTATTTCCTTAAGTTCACTCACTCTAAAAGGAACATGAGCTCTGTCCTCTCCAGGAATTAACTGGAGTGGGTAGAGTCCTGTGGGACAGCATCTAGTGTGTGAGGTAGCTGGGTAAGGGGGGAGAGGGGGAGCTGATGGAGAATTAGATGGGTTCTTTCATTCAAGGGAGTTTGGGGGCTTTTTGCAAAGGGTTACCATGATCTGGGTATCTAGCCTGCATTTGTTTAGCCATTCTGGGTGGTCTCTTAGGAAAAAAGAACAATTGAACATACGGAACTTTGGTCCACTTTCCCTCCTTTATACAGAACATATCTAATTGAAGAATGGTATTATAATTAATGCTCCCTCCTTCTGGCCATCTTTCCTCATCTCCCAGAGGATACTGTGGCCAAGCCTGGGTGCAGTAAAATTTGAGTCACTTTTGCTGAAGGCTTTCTGGATCAAGATCTTTCCAAGGTTTTAATAAGCAGGCAAGGAGGGATCCTTCCTGGATCCTTGAGGCTTGATTTCCCATCTAAAATGGGAAACAAGGAAAATTGGTCACCTTAACAGAGGTTTCTCCTTTTATCTAAGCATCCCCAGATGAGGAGAAACTCTAGTGGGAGAGGGCGTCTTGCTCTCCCTTGCTCCTTCCACTGCCACTCGTGGGTAGAGTTGTGGAGGATTTACAGATACCTCAGTTGCACCCACCCCCCTGAGATGATCTTTGACCAATCTCTCATCTATTTTGACTTGCCTGTTTGCCCTGCGACTCAGGTAGGCCTAGTTCTCCTCTATCAGCTGAGCACTTGTAATTAAAAAATAACTCTATCAAAGTAACCAAGAGGGCTTGCATGGCCAGAAGGAGGACCACTTTAGAGGCATGGATGGGGACTCCTGATGTAGTAGTCTTTTGTCCCCTATATATTCTGTGAGGCATATATGCTTTGTATGAAAAGAGGGAGAGAGAGAGTGAATGCATCTGGAGGCTTTTGCTCAGGTAAGGGGCAAAAATGGAGACCTGTGGTTTTTGTCTTTTAATTGTTCCCCCCACTCCCACCCCAGGGCAGGCTGTGGAACCTGTTCAACCAGTTAACCTGATGCTTGACAAAGACAGTTAAACCTAAATTGGAGACTAGCACTTTCTGGTGCCTGTAAGGATTTTTCCCAAACTCCCTAAAGAAAGAAGCTCACTGCTAATAGAGGAAAGTGGTGAGGGGGACACTTACCCTGAACTGCCTGGGAAAGGGGAAGGAGAGGCTGAGGGTCAGGGGAAAAGAGATTTTCCAGGCTCAACTCATGATGGATTATTGGTCATCACTGCTGTCCAGGTTGATCCTGCCCAAAGGCAGTACTGGAGCACTGGAAGCAAGAGGTGACCTCTACTCTTGGGCCACAGAAACCATGAAGGAAGTAAGAGATCTGGTTGTCTGTTTGCCGTGGACATGGCTGGAGAGGTCTGAGACTTAACCAACTTTGGGGCTTCAGGGCAGGTCAGGAAGTTGCATCTCCAGCCTTTGGGTGACACCAGGGATAGCCCCGGCCAGAACACCTTTTGTGGCTTGAAGACAAACTTTCCTTTCCACCGGCTGTTTTTGGACCTCCCCTTAAGCTGGTCAGATCTTGAAAGAGAGTGTTAGCATTTAAAGAGAGGGAGAAAGAAAAAGCCTCAGTGCACTGAAGTCAAGTTCCACCCACGTAGCATTGGCTGTGTGGCATAATCCCCCACCCGGTGTCCGAGTTTCCTCAGATTGCCTGCCGTACAGCAGTAGTGGGCCTGGACCTTTCCTTCAGATTCCCAAGGGAGAAATCCTCCTTAACCAGAGAGAGAGAGAGAGAGAGAGAGAGAGAGAGAGAAGACAGAGAGGGAAAAGTTCGACCTGAGAGTTCCACCATAGCTAGGCCGTGGTGGGAGGTCTCTCCTGGAAAACAGACTCCACCAGAGTGCCAGAAGCTAGCTCACGGTTACATTCCTAGGCAGTCTTTTCCAGTTTGGCACAAAATATACTGACCTCAGGTGACGGCTGGTCCCTTCATGCGTAGCCAAGTATGATGCATGGATGACATGCGCAGGAATTTCAGGTTCTCAGGGCTCTTGAGCCTGATCTGAGGATGAAAGCACAAGCGGACTCCAACAGCAGAGGATGGAAAGATTTTATTTGTAGAGACTTTAGTTGGAGAAAAGAGAAGAGAAAGGCTGCATATTGGGGAATGCAGGGGGACCTGGAAACCACTGATCCCATGGGTCAGGTTAGGGATTGGGTTTTATAGCCTTTTTTTGCATTGCCTGGGGGCAGAGATGTTTCTCAGGTGCAGACAGAGGTTTCCTGGGAAGGAGAGGTGTCTCCTTGTTCACTTATCACCTTTTGGGACCTCCTGCAGTCCATTCTTTAGTCCTTCAGTAGGATCCTGTTTTTATGAACCCTTTGTCTTTGTTTCTCATTATGGATGCTTGTCTGAAAACACTGCTCCAAATTTTATTTCAGTGCCATTCACCTAGCAATACCTCAAGTTTCAAAGCAGTGATTAATCAGTAGTCCAAAGCAAAATGTACAGAATGCTGTTTTCATTTCTCTCAAATGACATTCAAGTCCCATTTATTTCTAGCATATTCAAAATATTCCCATGAAATTAAAAAACAGTAATCTTAGCTAAAGTTTATTTTAATAGGTTTTTGTCTGTAGTAAAAGACTTCATCATATTGGCAAATAAATAAAGTGTTCCCAATCTTCTGGGCCACAGACAGAGTTGCTGTGAATAACCTAATATAATCATTCTGTAGTCATCTTGAAGTTTTGTGAATATTCCATGGGAAATAAATTCCCAGAAATGAGATTTCTTGCTCCAAAAGTAGATGCATTTACATGTTCCTAGACACTGTTAAAGTGCTCTCAACCATAGAGGCTGTATGCATGTATACCTGCTGAACCTATGTGAACATCATTTCCTTCATGTCTTAGGCAACACATTGTGTTCTTAATTTTTTGATCATTGCTAATAGAATTCTATTTTTCATGCTTCTTGCTGTGCATGGCAGAGCATCTTGGCATATTTTTAATGAGATTTTGGCCTTTGCTTATTGATTCATAAGAGCTTTTCACATATTGGAAATTTTTGACTTCAATTGTAAAGTTTTTTCAAGACTGTAATTCATCTTTTCAAGATAGTACTTAATTTTCTTACTATGAAGCCAGAATGTTTTTATGAATTAAAATTTACCTATATTTCTTTTGGGCTTCTGACTTCATTTTCCATAAAGACTATTGCAGTCCAAGATTTGAACTTTTTCTATAATTTCATCTAATACTTTATGGTTTAATATTTTACATTTAATATTTGATGAATTTGGAATTTGCTCTGCCTGCAAGGTATGATGGACAGCTCAAACTTTTTTTCTAAATGACTACCTACTGCAATTACTATGTTTGATGAACCATATTTTTTCATTCAGTGATTTAAAATGAAGCAATTATAAATACTAGACCCACTGGACTTTAAACAGAGGAATGCATAATCAAGTTTACTTTCATTTACTTATTTTGAGGTAGAGCTTTGAATATTCTATTCCAACTATATACAATTCTATTTTGTTCTGGGAATAAAATAAAATAAAAAAGATCTTTCTTCATCTATTCCAAGTATCCAGATTCGCTCTTGGTGTGAACAACCACATTTGTAGCAGCCGTATGAATAAGGGTAACTTTAGTGTCCCCATTTTACTGACTAGGAAATTGAGCCAGACAGAAATTAAAATACTTGCTCAAGGTCAACCAACCAGTAAGTGGCTGAGTCCAAGCTACTAACTGCTTTGATACATGGCCTTTCATAGTTTAAAGAAATGTTTAATGATGCCTCTATCATGGGGGCCATGTCCATTACATACCAGGCATTCAGTCACTATTAGTATTCATCTTAAAATTAGGGCTTTGCTTTCCCCACTGCCACAATATTTCTATACCAAACACTGAGACCATCATGGTCTTATAAAATCACTGACCTTGGTGTTATCTATACTTGGGTTTGAATCCCTGAGCCTTATTTTCACCTGTAATATGAACATAGTGACAGCACCCATCAAAAATCTTGTTTTAGGCTGGGGGTACAGCTGTTGTGTAACACTTGCATAGCATGCTCAAGGACCTGAGTTTGATCCCCAGCACCGTACACACACAATTGGTGGGTGTATTCCCACTCAGGTGGTCACAGGGGCACAGATTTCTTCGATTTCAGCAGTTACTCTTTCCATCTGGAATGGGCAGCTAAGAACCACAAACAGGTCAGACTTAATCCACCCCTATCCCCCACCAAATGTTAGTGGAGCCCTATCAACTGTGACTCCATTGTTGTGCTTTCAGGCCTCCAGGACAGTCCTGAGGAGACAGCTCCAACTGGCATTGGTTTCTCTTTCAGAAAGAGCATGCCTCCTCTTTTCTGTCACAACCCTTCCCCTCCAGGTCACTACTGTTTTGACCCTCTGGTCTCTGGGGCGGGGGGTCAATGAATTTAGTATTTCTAGCTTTGAGATTCATCCATGCTTTAAGTGAAACCCCAGGGCCTCTTTCCTTGCAGCTATCAACAATGATCATCCTCAACTTTCATCTGAGAGTTTGAACCCATATAGGTGCTGATGCTGGAAGACCCCAAGGTTTCTCTGCAATCCCTGGTGTCTGTGCAGAGACTTCACAGCAATTGACACAGCCAGCAAGCATTGTGACCATGGAAGGCACGTTTCATGCTCCTTTTACCAACAACCAAAACTTGTCTCAGGACCAGTGTCAAACTGGGAGCCTCAACTCTATAAACCTGGGATTGTAAAGTTGAGGCAGGCTAGAATTAGGAAAAATCTGGGACTGCTCCCCCTCCCTGACTCAAGTCCCATTTCAATTGCAAATCCTTTGTTAAACTAGAGTGGAAATTTCCTCTGCATGGACTTGGGGTAGCTGAGAATTAGCATAGGTTTATGCATGAGTCCGCCCACCCAGCAACTCCCCCTGGCCTGAAGGCCATTGCAGGTGGGAGTTAACAAGGATTTCTTCAAGTTAAGGATGATATAAAAACAACCTAAAATGGAATCCTTCCCTTTTTTTCTTCTGCACATGGCACCTCCATGCCACGTGGCAGAGACCTCACCTGTAATTCCTTTCCCCCTTTCCTATAATAAAACTCTGGTATCTTCCACACTACACCCACTTGTTTTACTTGGATTCTTCCATACCAGAGTGCGAAGAACAAGATCTTCTGGAGACACCTTTGTGTTAACAGTCTGACATTTACTGAGCACAGTGGAAATATCCTGAATGGAGCACTTGACTTACTTGCTTTCACTGAATTCCTACAGTAACAATGAAGGATGTGCGTCTGGCTGGGTAGGTGCTTGTTAGGTGCCTTTTGGTGGTCTGTGCACATCATGGACACAGAACAGCTTTCCCACAGTCTGGGGAGGGCACTGTATCAGGAGGTATGGCTGGGAGTCTACCTAGATGAACCTGATGTTGTCAGATAGACACTGGCCTGTTTGGGAAGATCAGATTAGGAGGGAAGAGCAGAGCAGGATCAGGGCTTTTAAACATGCATAAACTTATTCTTGACTTGCTGTCTACATAGGGGTGTCTGGCTTGAAGTTCTGTTTGTTGGATAGGGGACTGTTTGTCCAGCTGGAGATCTTTTTGGCTCCTAGGGTGTCTCCCTAGGGGTCTGGCTGATTGTTGTATTTCTTGCTGGGGAATATCTGGTATATCTGCCCAGCCAGTAGTCTATCTGAAGGTTTTGTCAAGCTAGGAGTTAGTGTGTCTATGATCTGTTTTTTTAGTGAAATCAATCTTAGGGCTTCTCAGTATGCCCATCATTCTGGGGTTTGGCAGGTGCTATGGGTATGTCTTCCAAGTGGCAGTATGCATGTCTGTCCAGCTCAAGGGCTGAGTCTGTCTGGCCAGGGGGTCTGTATGAAATGGGTCAGTCTGGTTGGGGGTTCTTTCTGCCTCTCTGGGGTCTGTCTGGATAGGGTCTAATTTGCTTGGGGTCCATCTGTGTGAACAGCTGGAGAGTGTTCCTACCTATTTGGGAAACTTGACTATTCATCTGCGGAATGATCTGTCTGATCACTTGGGGTCTATGTTTCCATCTGGCTGCATCTGTCTAGCTGGCCAATCAGCTTGGGTCTATCTAACTCTGGCTGAAGGTAGTATGTCTCTGTCTGTCTAAATCAATTTAATCCATTGATTAAATGGGGGACATATCCATCTGAGGTCTGAGAATTTACCTGTCTACTACCAGGGAGGCAGTCTACCTAAAAGATCTGCCAAGACTGCTCAGTGCAGTCAGGATTCTGTGTAGCTGTGGTCTATCTGGTTGGGAATTCATCTGGCTAGACAGGAGTCTGGTAAGATGGAATGTCCATAAGTTTGCCCACTTGGGGGTTAGGGTGGGGCCTTTCTAGCTGAGATGTCTGTATGTCTATACAGTGGGGATCTGTTTGTCTGAAATTCTGCCCATCTAGAAGTCCATCTGGCTTTATTTGGTGGTCTCTATGGCTGGGAATGATCTGTCAGGCTGTTGGCTGGTCTGTTAAGCTGTTGAGGTCCTCCTATTTAGAAGGTGGAGTCAATGCCCACTCCTGATATTCTTTCTTGAATCTGCTCAGGATCTGGCCTCATCAGCTATTATCTCCCATTTACTTCCTCCAGCCTTGACTGCTACAATCACTGGAGGTCCCCACTTTTTCCAGCCTGAGAAACTTTTATTTTGATCCAGATCCAGCGTTTCCATTCCCAACACATCACACCCGCAGAGTGGTGGTAGCAGCAGTCCAAACACCCATGTGCGACGACCGGGAGGCACAACTGTAGTAATCACACTCGGGTCCACTCAGCAGGGGGATCCCGCGGCCCCTTCGGCCTTCCAATGCGCAAGTTGAAGCCTAGGAGAGGAAGGGTGCTATGGGGTCATATGGAGAAGCTGAGGCATGAAGAGGTAGGCAACTTGCAAAGGCCATTCCCACGCCTCAAGGTCCTCTTGGTTTTCCACAGCCATACTCACTGAACTCCCAGAACCTGAACCTCAAGCCCCAGCCCTAAATACCAGGTTCCTGGGGTTCACCCAAAGCTGTAGTCCCAGCGATCCTGCTCTGACTTACCTAGCCCACCAGTCTGAGCTCCATCTGTCACTTCCTCATAGGCGTCAGATCCAGGAGGGCTTTGGTTAACAGGAACTGTGGGCAAGAGACCCCCCCACCCACACCACGGATCAGCTCAGGGAGTTCCACACAGCACCCCCCGCCCCAACTCCACCTCTCCTGGCTTCCAGGGACCCTAGTAGGTGAAAGGTGGAGGAGGAGGCGTGCGCCATAGGCGTGGCCAAGTCGGGGACATCCGCCTTCAGGTCAAGCCCTAGATAAAAAAGGTGGCACTGCCAGGGATTGAACTGGGACTCAGTTTCCTGACTGCTCTCTGGCCTGGTGGGCACTTCCACGACTTAAGGCCAGGCAGGAGTCCCCAGGAGGCGTGGCCAAGGAAGCTGGACGCCAGCCTCAGAGGCGTGGTCAGGCCCGGCTACTGGGCGGATGTCCTCCTGGCTGCCAGCTCTCCTCCCAAGGGCCCAGCAGGATGGGGTCCCTAGAAGGAGCAGGTGAGTGCCAGCCCTCCCTGCCTTCTGCCCTGGAGTAGCCTCCACTCACCACGGCCAGGTAGCGCCCCTCGCGCATCCTCCGCATGCGCCACAGGTCGCAGAGCGCGTGGTGTCACCTGGCTGTACAGTGGTGTTTCCAAGGTGCTATGAGCCTGTGCACTGGGTGCGGGGCCTGCTGGAGCCCCACGCTTCTGCACCACCGCATATGTGTCGGCCATGGGGAAGGTTGGGGCCCCAGGTACTGAGATGCTCCTGCCGGCAGGGAGCGCGCAGAGGAAGTGAAAGGGCAGCTCCCCGTAGGGTGGGGGTGGGGGCTAGCTCAGCTCAAACCACAGGCTTCCTTTCCGCCCCAGGGGGTGAGCAGGAAAGGAGGGAAGGGGCGGGGTCTCTGGGTAATGGAGGAGGTGGGGGTGGCTCGTTTCTGTATGTGTTAAGTGTTCCGCAGTTAGATGAATATAACTGAGACAGGCCAGCCTGGCAGGTTATTGGGTCAGGGTATTGGTATCGATGAGTGGTCATTTCTGTGTAAATGTTTTTGAGTAAAAGAATAAGGAAGTGGCATGCAAGGAGGGGAAAGACAGCCTCAAAGTAGAGAGCTGGCTTAAGGATGAGGAGAATCAACTGTGGCAGCATTACCTGGCAAGAGAACCACGTTAAGAAATACTTGCCGAATTAATTACTGATTGGAGGAGCAAGGAAAAAGCGAACAGCTGACTGTAGGGCGAGATTTTGAGGCAGAGGCAGGGACCAGTTCAAAGGAAGGGCCAGAGAATCGATGGTGAACTAAACAGCAAGGAAGAGGGTGGTGTTTCAAGGGTGAGGCAGGAAAGGCTAGCCTGAGAAACTGAAAGGTAAGGGGATGGAGTCAGTACCTGAGAACCCCACCTGGTGGGCGGGGTATGGCAAGAAGGGTTGGGGAAGTCGGGAGGGAGCTGGTATCATCGTAGAGTGGGGCACAATTCTGGGGGAAAACAGGAGAGAGGGTAATGAAGCTTTGGAGGAAACTGGCCAGGCCACTGATGCAGGTCACCAAGATTTAAAGGTAAGCCCTAGAAGGGACAGCATGATAAGGGAGGTCAAGATGGCCATCACAATGAGTCAGAGCCTGTTCTAAGGATTTTGGGGGCTTGAGGATGTTCATGATGTCAGGAAGACTGAGCAGGGGGTCTCTGTACCTCCTTGAGGTTCTGGTAGTGGGAGCTGGTGTTCTGGAGGGCTGAGTAGAATAGCTGAGCCACCGTATGGTACAGGAACTTGTACTGCTCCTGTTGAGGAGAGCAGTCATTGAGAAATAAAGACAAGGGAAGGAGGGATGGAAGCCCTACCTGTGTAGTTGGGAATGATGAGACCCAGGCAGGTGCACACCTCTGTCTGCACTACTGCAGGCCGCTGCTTCCGCATCTCAAGCACCACGTCAAAGAGGCTGAAGTTAGTCGGGATGGTCTGGGGCAAAGAGGTGGGGCATGAGCAGGATCCCATGGACACGGAACACAGTGCACACACAGATGCCTCATCATACCTGGGTTAGGAGCAACTGCCTCACGTAATCAATAGTACACAGGACTCCTGTTCGCCCGCAGCCAGCACTGACAAGTGAGAATCAGAGCAGGCTTGGTCAGGACATACCCAGAACCCTCATTTTTTCTTTTCCTTTTCTTTCCCTTTTAACAGGGTCTGCCTGTAGCCCAGACTGGCCTTGAACTGAGATATTTCTGCCTCTGCTTCCTAAGGACTGGGATTGCAGGCCTGTACCACCACACACAGTGCCACATCCCTTTTAAATGAGGCATTTGTGATGGGTGGGGGTGGGGGTTCCCTGCAGGACCTCCTGATTTGCAGAATTCCCAGATTATAATTTCAAAGGAAAACCTTTTTGGTTTTGTTGAAAACCAGCTATGTGGTTGCTCCTCAGTAGGCTCAACAAATGCTGAAAATTTCTGTCCATGAAGCATGAGCATGTATGACCTCAGGTTTCTCAAAACAGGCACTCAGAAGGTAAGACTGGTTCCAAACCCTGCTCTCCCCTCCCTGTCTCCCTCACCCAATCTTCATAAAGCCTGTTCTCTAAACCTGCAGTGGACACATAGGGGTCCAGGGCCAGATCCTTGGAGGCGGCGGGCTTCTTCCACCATGGTGAGCATGTGGTCAGGATTGCTGGGAACACCACGGTCTGGCCAGGACATATACTGCAACTGGTGCACAGAACGGGACTCCTTGATACAGAGGAGAAAAGAATAGAAAAGAAATGCATTTACTGAGCTCCTGCTATATAACATACCCAGTTCTAAGCATCCTCCATTTAAATCCACCAGATAGGGCTGGGGGGTAGCTCAGTGGTACAGCAAGCACTTGCCAGCATGTACAGGTCCTGGGTTTGATCTCCAGCACCAGAAAGGAAAAAAAAATCTACTAGATAGTAACTACAGAGGTGACTATTATTGTGAATGACCACTTTACAGAGGCAGAAACAGAGGAAGAACTAGCTTTCTCATGCAAGAGCCCTTTCAGTACCTTCTTGAATGTGACATGGAGGGTCCTGAGAATGATGTCTGCATTCAGCCGGGTCTCCTTTGTCTGAATACACGGGGCAAGTAAGAAGAGGAAAAACAAGGGAAAGGGGGAAAAACACATGCCCAAAGACACATTTATAGAAAGCAAAACATTTTTTTTTTTTAAGGCAGGATCTCTCTATATAGCTCAGGCTGGCCTTGAATAGAATTCTCCTGTCTCAGTCTCCTCAGAAGAAAATACCAAAAACATATTAAAAAAATTCATTTGACCCAAGCAGCTCCCAGACTTTCATGAAGGAAACATGGGAGCAAGAGGAACTGCTATACAAACCCAAACAAGTCCATTGACAATGAAAATAAGAAAGTCCTTTTGTTTTAAAAACAGTTTCATTGAGTATTAACTACATATATGAGGAGAGAGTTCCTCAATTTCCTTGAAAATGGTTTTTCAGAAACCTAAACAAGCACATTTACATTACGAAGATAAATGATAAAAATGCTAGGGATTGGGAGTACAGTTCAGTGGTAGAGCACTTGACTAGAGGCCTGGGTTCTATCCCCAGCACAAAACAACAACAACAAACTAAGGTAATACTTATATTGCATTCTGACTATTTGCACGCTAACATCAGGGCATTCTCTGAGTTTCCCACAGTGTGAGGGGACTGTGGGAAAGTGGTTCATCTTTCCAGGCCAGCTCAAAGTCTTTCCACCTTGGGCATCTTCCTTGAAATCTTCTAAAGTACCCACAACCTCCAGAACCATGTTCCCATCTCACCAGGGTGATGCAGAAAAACCCAGTCTGCAGTGGCTCCTGCTTCTGGGCCCAGTAACGCTCACACTTCTTCTGCAGAGACAGAAAAAATAAAGGGAGTGAAGACTCACTTTCAGAGTTGTGATCCCACAATATACTCCAGGTACTGCTGGTGGAAGTAGCAACAGCTGTGGCTGTAATGGAGGCCAGCTGCAAAGCAACTCCATGAAGGTGAGCTGTTGACCATGCAGGAGGAAGACAGTCCAGGATATCCTCCTACCGCAAGCAGCTAAAAAGCTGGACAAAGTGCATGAGCCACTACTTTCCATCACTGACTCATGCAGCAAAGGACTATGGTCACTAAACAGACCACCTGGTTTACTGCCTGGAGGTATCTAGGTACCCAAGCTGGGCACATGAGGAGCCCAGTGATCCCACTGAGATGAAGAGGCAGAGATCAGGGCTTAAAGAAGACAATGCAGCAAGAATTTGCAGAGCAGAGGGCAGAGTCCTAGAAAGGAAGAGCTATGCAAACAAAAGCTCTTTCTTCCTCCAAAAGGCAACAACTCCAGAAATACGCATAGAGGTCTTTTCCATAAACCCCAAGTCTCTGACAGAATAATAATCTGAGTGCACACAGCATGAAACTCTATGAGACCAGGCAAAAATAACTCCTATGAAAGAATAATTAAGTAAGCCAGGCACCGGTGGCTCATGCCTGTAATCCTAGCTAAGCTACTCAGGAGGCAGAGGTCAGGAGGACTGTGGTTCAAAGCCAGCCCAGGCATATAGTTCACATGACCCTATCTCAGAAAAAACCCATCACAGAAAAGGGATGGTGGAGTGGCTCTGAGTTCAAACCCCGGTACTGCAAAAAAAAAAAAAAAAAAACTAAACAAATAAGAGTTAATACCAACCTTGCAAACACACTCTTGCCCCCTCAAAATAAAACTGAAGAAAAGAGAACATTACCCAGCTTATTGTATGAGACCAAGTATCAACCTGATAACAAAACCAGACTAAGATATTAACAAGAAAAGAAAAAAACTACTGTGTAGTCTCATGAAATAGACACACACATTTTCAATGAAACGCTAGCAACATAATTCCAGGAATGCAATATTAGTTCAACACATGAAAATCCATCAAATCCATATTAATAGATTAGAAATCAAAACATGATCATTTGAATAGGGGCAGAAAAAAAATCTTGATAAAACTAATCACTATTTCATGATAAGACATGAGAGGCATCAGGAATAAAAAGGAAATACCTCAACATGATAAATATAAAACTCCCACAGATAACATCATAGTTAATGGCAAAAGTCTAAAACATAAGAACAAGACAGGTAGCACTTGCTGCTTTAATTCCAAATTTGTACTGAATACTGGAGCCAGCACAATTAGGAAAAATTGAGGGTAAAGGGAAAGAAACAAAAGGAGGTGGGAGTGGAGAAGAAGAGATGAAGGAAGGGCAGACACTCAGATTGAAAAGGAAGAAACAAAACTATTTGACTTGTAGATTGCTTTTGTAGAGAGAACATATTAAAGAATACACTTACCATACACACGCAAAGCTAGTAAACAAATTCGGGAGGATTGCAGGATACAAGATTGAAGGAGGAAAATGAATTCTGTATCTCTATGTCATGTAAAGTATTCCATTTGTAATATACAAACATATTTACCATAATATCAAAAAGTATAAGAAACATAGAAATAAATTTAACAAAAGTGCAAATTTTTAAAAACTAATCACTACCAAGCATTGCTGAAGGAAATTAAGGAGGATTCAGGTAAATGAATTTGAAGATAATTATCTTCCAATTTGATCCAGAAGTTTTCTTGAAGACATTGAGAAGCTGATCTTAAAAATGAATATGGAAAAGAAACTATCATGATTCACCTGCAGGACATTAATGGCTCAACATATAGTCATACTCATAGATATGATTTGTTTTAGTGAGAAGATTCAGAATAAAATCAGCAAAAGGGGAGGCGTGCAGAGGTATGCAGGAAATGGGGCTTGAGCTTCCAAAGGTACTCTCCCAGTAGAATCACACAGGAAGTGCTTGATTTTTCCAGTAATGACTTGTGGCAAAATGTGTGAAATGTGATGGGATTCAGTGCCTATGGTTTTTATTGGGCACTTTCTGCATAGCATGTAAGGATTCGCTGCCTAGCATGTTCTAAAATGTCAGACTCCCAGAAGGATAGCAGGTGTTGAGCACACACCATATTGTTTGTGTCCACACACACACACACACACACACACACACACACACTGCATAGTGAGCCACTCTTCTAAGAAATCCAAGTTCCTAGAGTTCACTCAAGAGCCAGCCTTACAGGAAAGACTTTTCACACATGAGCAGTTTGCCTGCCTTGTGAACTCTTCTCTGCATTACAAGGGATCTAGCCAAAACAATCTTTCACACATACTGATTTCAAAACTTATTATAAAAGAACAATAATCAAAACTGTCATATTAGCACAATATGAATAAAGTTGAGAGTTCAGAAATAAATCCTTATATTTATGGTCAATCAGTTTTCAGCAAGAATGCCAAGAGCTTGAAATAAGCAGTTTTCAACAGATAGTACTGGAACAACTGGACATCGATGTACAAGAGAGTGGATTTGGACCCGTCTCACACCAAATAAAAAAAAAGTAAAAATCAGAGAACTAAATGTAGGAGATAAAAGCACAAAACACAGAAGAGAATGTAGCAGTAAATCTTTATGCTTTGGTTAGACAATGATTTCTTAGATGTAAAACCAAAAGCCCAAGAAAAAGGATAGATTGGAATTCATCAAAATTTACAGCTTCAAAGGTCACTATTAAGTGGGTGCTGGTGGCTCACGCCTATAATCTTAGCTTCTCAGGAAGCAGAGATCAGGAGGAACTCGTTCAAAGCCAGTCCAGGCAAATAGTTCACAAGACCCTATCTCGTAAAGCCCATCACAAAAAAAAGGGCTTGAGTGGCTCAAGGTGTAGGGCTTGAGTTCAAGTCTCAGTACTGCAAAAAAAAAAAAAAGACACTAACAAGATATCAAAAAAGTGAAATGACAACCCATAGAGTGGGAAAGATATTTGTAAATCATTTGTGCTGGTGAGGCACTTGTATACAGAACACTTGCAACTCAGTAATAAAGACAGCCCCAAATAACCCAATTTAAAAATGGCCAAATGCTCTGAATAGATATTTACATAGAGAAGATACACAAATGAACAAAGAAGAACTTGAAAACCAAAATGATAATGAATGGTTTTCCTAATGACTGGGAAGTGTAAAATAGCAAGAGTAGGTGAGCATGTGGGGTATTTGCAACCTCTTGTGAATTGCTAATGGGAATGTAAAATGGCACAGCCACTGTGGAAAACAAACAAAACAATGAAACATAGAATTGTTATATATTGGGCTGGTGGAGTGGTTCAAGTGGTATAGTGCCAGCCTAGCAAGCACGAGGCCCTCCTGTTACAAAAAAAAAAAAATTGTCATATATCCAGCAATTCTAGTCTAGGTGTATACTCAAAGAATTGTAAATAGAAACTCATATGGATACCTGTTTACCAATGTGAATAAGCAGCAATATTCACAGTAGTGAAAAGGTAGAAACAAATATCCATCAATTGATCAATTGGTAAACAAAATGCTACATACATACAACAAAATATTATTCAGTCTTAGAAAGAGTGGAATTCTGATAGATGCTACAACATGGATGAACCTTGAAAAACATTACACTAAGTGAAAGAAACCAGAGACAAAAGCGTAAGTATTGTATGATTACCTAGCTGAGCAAATTAATAGAGGCAGAAGAATAGGTGGGACCAAGATCTGCGGGGAGGGATGAGAAGGAATTGTTTAATAGGTACAGAGTTTATTTTGGGGTGATGAACACATTCTGGAAATGGATAGTGTGATGGTTGCACAACAACATGAATGTGCTTACTGCCACTATGTTGTACACTTAAAATGGTTAAAAGACAACTTTCATGTTACTTGTGTTTTACCATGATTTTTACAAAGACCCAGTGGATATCACTCCCATTCCCAAGGATGGCTATAATAAAAAATATAGAGTTACAAATGTTGGTGAGCATGTGAAGAGACTGGAGCTGTCACATATTGTTGGTGGGAATGTAACATGATGTAGCTACTATGGGAAACAGTTTATCATTTCCTCAAAATGTTAAAAGTAGAGTTCTATGACCCAGCAGTTCTACTGCTTGATACATACTCAAGAGAAATGAAAGTATATGTCTACGGAAGACTTGTACACAAATGTTCACAGGAGCATTTTTTCATAATAGCTAAAAAAAAAAAGAGGAAATACCCCTAAGTTCTATAAACTGCTTAATGGAAAAGACATGGTAGATACATTCAATGGGATTTTATTCAGCGATAAAAAGGAGGGAAGTATTGACAATATGCACAGACCTTCAAAACACTAAGTGAATGAAACTAGTCACAAAAACCTACATATTATTACTTTACTTAAATGAAACATTCAGAGAAGGCAAATCTATACATATCAAAAGTAGATTAGGAGCTACCTAGGACTTAGATGTTGCTGGGAAATAGGAAGAGATTCCTAACGGGGTGATGAAAATGTTCTAAAATTGCTGGTGGGAATGGTTGTATAACTCAAGGATATACTAAAAACAATCAAATTGGATACTGTAAGTAGGTGAATTGTTTGTTATTGTTTTAGAGATAGGGTCTCACCGAGTTGCCTACACTGGCCTCGAACTCATGACCCACAAACCTCAGCCTCTACAGTACCTGGGATTACAGTTGCATACCACCACACCTGGCTAAACAAGTGAGATGTATCTCAATAAAGCTGTTTTAAAAAGATAACTGAAAGCAATAATAGCATCATGGACTATAGTTTATGTTTAAAATTAGCTAGTGTGGTAGAAGTCAGTAAGAAGTGTGAAGCAAAATGGAAAAGTAGGACAAGGGAATGAGAGTGGGATGCTTGGAGTGTGAAATTATATGAAAGTTCAGAAGGCATCAAGGCATAAAGAAGGTACTAGAGAGAGTGATGGGAAAATGTCCTCCGCGAGAGGAAGCAGTCAGGGCATAGAACCTGTGGCAGAACCCTCCTGGTGCATCTGAGGAATAGCGGAGGCCAGCACAGGTCAGGGGAGTGAGAATAATGGGGAGAGAGACTGAAAGAGAGATAAGAGCTGTGTAGGGAACTGGTCAGAATAGGGTCTTAGCTCTATGATGCTGCATAAGGGGGAAGCCCAACACGGTGGGAATGGGCTTCATGAACAAAAGAAAAAAGATCAAGGTAAAATTAGAGAGGAATAGTGGCTTCTTGCAGAACCACAGAGGGGTCAGTCAGGAACTGGGCCCCCAAGATCTAGGATCAGGAAGGAGTTAGCAAGTTTCCTTCTCCCTCCTCCCCGCATAGGTCTTGCATTCTGGAGGGTTGAGGACACATACCCGCCCATTCTCTATCTCGCGACAGGCCATCAGTATCACCTAGACAGAGGGGCAAAGGAAGAGGGAGGTGATATGCATTGGGGAAAAACAGGGAGGAGGGACTCAAAACCTTACCTCCCTCCGGGTCCCTCAAAGCTGACCTTGACCCCAAACTCCCAGACCAGGCGCCAGAAATCTAGTAGGGTGTGAGGCAGGGGTCCTTGCGTGGCAATGTAGGCCTGACGTCCATCTGCACCCTGGGAAAGGTCCATTCACTAATTAGATCCCACTTCCTACCCTTGCCAACTCCAGCCTTCCCCTTCTCCCGACCATCAGCCTGACCCGGATGAAGCTGGCATTGATGTAGTCGCTGAGTCCCTCCTCTTGAAGCAGGGAGAGAATCACTCGCGTTTGATCATCTGCCAGTGGATGAGAGGCATGGAATTTAGGGGTGACAGGCGCATGAAGGGTTTGACAGTCCCTTGGGTGAAAGCTAGCAGGGAGACAGCACATCCCAGACAACTGCTTTGTGGGTGGGGCTGTGGGGAATAAGGAGGCGCAGACCCTCAGGGAATAGAGTGGCTCCGCAGGGTGCACAGTGAAACCTGCACTGTCTCCTGAGAGTGTGTGCAGAGCAACACTAGCTCCGTGAGGAAGCCCCCTGACTTACATGGTACCACGTCTTTGTAGCGGTTCTTCCTTATATTTCCAGGCTGGCTGCCGGCCTCGGTGGAGCACACACTGTCAGTCTTCCAGGAAGCCGAGCAGGCCCGGATGTCCTAGCGGGAGTACCGTGAGCCAACCAAGAAGGCAGAAGAGAGGAGGAAAGGAGCCAGGTCAGAAGTCCTGGGACACGGAGGCATTCATCGAATATAAGGCAAATAATCTCAGGGGAGATGAGTGCAGATCTCCAGTGACACAGGTCCTGTGTAACAGTGATACAGTAACAGCAGCCAAGGGCGCCTTCTCTATACCAGGTACTGTGCTAAGGGCATTTAGTCATTATGAGGTCCCTATGAAGTGGGTACTGCTATTGCCGTCCTCATTGCGCAGGTGAGAAAGCTGATACACCACGTGGGTGAGCGATCTGCAAAGGTCTCACCAGAAGGCACAATGAAGGTTGAACACAGACCTGCACACTCAATCCATGCTATACAATATTGTAAGCATTAACTGCAATAAAACCTATTTTGTATTATTTAATACAATGAAA